ACTTCTTCAACGTTCTGTTGAACCTTTCTGCAACTTTATTGTGTTCTGGAGTGTACGGTGATGCAAATATGGTTTTTATCTTTTCTCTTTTTAATACCTCTTTAAAAGCACCTCCCGTAAATTCCTTGTCTTGATCTGACTTTGCATAGCATAGCTTTTCTTTTCCTAGTAGATTTCTGGCGGATATAAGATATTTCTCTAGAGCCTCTCCCGATTCATCTTTTGTCTTCAGAGAGTAGTAGGCTTTTGCTAATCTAGAATAGTCATCTATAAAAGTGATTATAAACCTCTTTTGTCCTGGATAGGATGTAGGTTTTGGACCTATGATGTCCGTATGTATTACCTGCAGTGGTCTCTGTGCTCTATTTCTGTTTTCTTTAAACGGCAGTTTTGCCATCTTTGCCATTATACATACTTCACACTCTAATATAAAGTTATCAAACTTTACATTTTCTAATCTCTTTTCTACTTTTTGTAATTGTTTTAGATAGTTTAACGATGCATGACCTAATCTGACATGCCATAACATCACCTCATTTATTTTCTCTAGTTTCTTTACTTTTTTAATTACTGAGCTTTCACACATTTCTTCTATATTCTCTATTGTCTGTATATCTTCTAACTTAATGAATTGATCGAGTTCAGCATTATTGTGTTCTATATTTTTGTTCACATTTGTGAGCTCTCCTTCATTCTCCCTCCCAATCGCAGAGCCAACATTATCCCTCTCATTTAACTCTCCCTCCGAAATTGATAATTCATTGGTCTGAATGTTTGCTTGCGATTGTTCAGGAAGCTCACTATGTGGAACTATTTCTGCTCTACATCTGTAAATTCCTTTAAAAACTATTTTATTCGTCAGTTTATTGTAAACTTTAAACACTTTATCATCTGAATAAATACTGAACCCTGCATCAGCCAACTTTCTTAGATATAGTAAATTTTTGGATACTTTCTTTGCTGCAATTACATTTGTTAATTTAATGACTCTCTTTTCTTTTTCATTCGTTATTAGCGTAAGATCTCCTTTACCATCTATTGAAATGTTTGCAAGCTCATTTTTATTCGCGCATTTAATAACTCTATCTTTACATTTTTCAAATTTTGACAGAATAAAATTCTTATTCACAATATGATCCGTAGCACCCGAATCTGCAGTAAAATTGACTACCTCTTTTGAACTATCTCTATCTTCTATTAATTTAACCATGTATTATTTACCTTCTTCTGATTCTCCTTCATTTGCTGTTTTCGTTGATATAGGTTTCTCAGCTAGTTGTATCTTTTGTTATTTTCCCTTTGTTATCTACTCTTTTTGTGCCTTTTTGCACAAATCTACCCTTTTTCTTTATGTTTTTATTAACGGTTTTATTTAAATACCTTTTTCCTCTAGCTCTGTTCGCCTGGGCTTCGGCACTCGGACAATTATCACCCTTGTGACCTCGTACTTCCTGGCAGTAGTAACAAAACCAGGCACCAAATTCTATTAGTGGACAGTCCTTTGCCATATGACCCATTCGGTTGCATCTGTAGCATTTCACTTGTTTTATGTTCTCTTCTGCAGCAGCCCTCTGTACCCTGACTTCGGGTTTCTCTAATTTTTCTTTATTCTCGTTTTTAGTCTCTGCTTCTAACTGCATCATAAAAGACTTTATTTCATCTATGTTCATTTCTTTAAGATTAGTTTGTCTTCTAATTAAATCTACATTCCTCAGCTCTGGTACATTAATTGACACAGCCTGATAAAGTTCAGATCTAATCTCTTGTTCTGTGAGGGGTACCGCATCTTCACATGATTCATATTCTCTAATTATTGAATCAAAGCGTTCACAAAAATCACTTACTTTTTCGTCTTTTTTCATTTTAATTTGATAGAGTTTAACTCGTACCGATGCATGAGTAACGTTTACTTCACTCTTTTTATATCCTCTCAATTTCTTCAAAATTTCTTTCGGATCTTTTTCATGTAGAATCCTTTTATGATAGTTTTCATCTAAATGATTGATTATTATATCTCTAACAAGACTTTTTCTCTTAGCAACTTTTAGTTCGGAGAGATTTTCTGGACTTTCAATGTTTGAATCTATTACATCTAACAACTCGTTATTCATTAACTCAGATTTTAAATAATCCATCCAAAGATCAAAGTTGGATTTTTGCGTCAGCTTATATTCTTTTCTAATATGCAACCTTTGACTGTTCAATTCCAATTCTATAGCTCTTTTCATTGTCTCTAAACTCCTATCTTTTTCGGCTGAACAGACTGTTATTTCATTTAATTTTCTCTTTTTAGACTCTACCTCTAGTTCTTTAACCGTTTGTTTACTGTTTTCTACTGAACTTTGGGTATCTTTATTGCTTACCTCTAAACGTCTAAGTTTAACTTTTTCTTTCTCTAAGTTTAAACGGGAGACTTCCACCATATTCTCCATCATCTCGGTGGCCTTCTTCATTACTTTATCCAGCATCTGCATCGAATTGTCCATTTTCTCAACCATCTTTTCTTGTTTCTCGTAAAGTATCTTTGTCCCTATAGGTAGTACAGGACGATTTTCAGCCCATTCTCTATTCACATCTATGTTTTCTATTATCTTTGGTTTGCCGCGTTTCGGGATTGCACCCTTTGCTTCAGTCTCCTTCTTGTCTTTTGCTTCTATACGGAATTTTGAAATTACTATTTTTATTTTCTCTAAATGCATATATATATTATTCTTCTGGACTACTTTATTTTCAAAAAAAATACTCTCTTACCTCTATCTTTTCTTACTGTCTCCTCGTTTTTATCTTTTGCTTCTCTATCTATTACCGTGATAAAGCTGCTATCGCTGTCGTAGTCGACCAGCGCATCTTGGCCTTCTTCTTCTTCCATCTATATCGGGATTTAAATATCAACTGAACATTAGCATTCCTCTTTTGACAAGATAAACCAACATTCGTATTGACAAATAATAATTTACAATTTCTATCACTAGATCTCTTTCAGCGATAAAAATTTAATGCTTATGAGGCTATATAGAACGCACTGCAATTCACAATAACCCCAAAGCGAGAAAACCACGCGCCTCTGCAGGGCTATCCGCACGCGCACACCACTGTCCGTTGCGATCCCCAGCACTGCTGAAAAGATCTATGGGAGCTCGGGTTGATCACGCACACGCACGGGGCCCATACAAATTTACGCGGCTTCCCTAAACAGTAATCAAGCTACACCGCACAGCAAGTCATGCTCAATTACCGACCCGATACATATCGATTTCAAAAAAAATAAACTCATATAGAGTCATATAGAGTTTTTATACATACGCATACATTTACATGTATCGCAATCTAGCCATCTAGCATACGCATACATTTACATGTATCGTAATCTAGCCATCTAGCATACGCATACATTTACATGTATCGTAATCTAGCCATCTAGCATCGATGCCATGTTGTTAGTCGAAATCGATTATGTGTTTGTGCGCGCCCAGCAACAAGTTCTGCGCGCCAAAAACAATGACTCTCGCCGTCTACGATCGGACTTCCGCGCGCCAAAAGAAATGACTCTCGCCGTTCACGATCGGACTTGCACGCGCACGTCGCCGACTTGCTACCAAGCGGCATTTTTCTATCTCTTTTTCCTTCATTATTCTCTACTTCTTTATTACACTTTACACATCTATTCTCTAATTCTCTTATTACCATTATTACCTCTATTTCTATTTCTCGAGAAAAATGGCAAAAACATCTATCTCCTTGTAACAGTATTTATCGAACGAACATTCTTATTAACTGAGAATTCTCTCGTTTTGCTCGTCAGCAACGAGGAATATTGTTTACTCACCCTCTAATCTTCTAAATGCTTCTATCTCTTTCTATGCCCTTCGCCGGCGTCTCACACACTTCGTATATACACTTTCGTGCTATGTTCCTCACGCAGGGGAATCGTGCCCTGGGCCCATAACCTATTGGAAATATAATCAGGGACGACTTGAAATGTGGTGAGATGAGCAGGGAACACAACAATCTTGGTCTTTGTACACTCTGAATACTGTCTTTATTATATATAAGTATATCACACTCTGTAACTTAAACCGTAATCGACACGTCTGAACACGACGGTGATCGAGGCTCTTGTGAGCACCACTGATGCCCGCACGCACGCGTGGCGCGCCGAGTCGCGCCGCCAACCGGGGGCTGCCCTCTAGAAGGGCGGGAACTTATTGCTCGTTCAAAGTCTTCTCCCAACATAAATAAAAAAAGGTACAATAAAAATTAGTTTCCAATAAACCTTTACTTCTGTTATTGGATACAAAGAAATTATGGAACAGAAAATAAATATTTCTTAAGGAATATAAGTGAAAAAAGTGGAAACTTAACATTTTTTAAATTATTGTTTCAGATTAACTGAAATTATTTATATTGTCAATTTAAATATTGCAAACAATTATAATAAATAATTTGCTAAAAATTTTTCAATACATATCCCAGCAGAAACAAGACTGAAAAATACTCCTAAGAAGTTTTAATATATTATTCAAATAAAATCAATTATGAAAATAAGATAAATTAATAACACTTATATGTATAATTCAATATTTTGCATTTAAAAGCAATAAAGTTTAATTCAGTAAAGTATTAACAAGTTTTGAAAATACTGTTACAGTTTACAACGAATCACAGCTCAAATATATATACAAATTGCTTATTAACATTTTGAATATAATCTTGAAGTATTATTTTGATTAAGAACATAAATATGTATTATGTATTTTCATATTACTGGAAGAACAGACAATATATCAATATTTTCTTCAAGACCTCAATTATTGACATTTACATTTAATATTATTTACCATTAAATTACCTAACAGATATCATATTTAAAATATTAATTTTAATTTTACTGGATGTATAAAAAAATCACTAAATAAAATGAATAATATTTAATTATTCATAGTTAATAAGTTTGTATAAATTGAAAAATCAGTGTTAGAGCAGCTACAAAGTAATGCTGCGTTCGGAAATGTCTCTCAAGTGCCTTTGTGTTTCATTTTATCCTTGTTTAACATTTGGTGAACAACAAGAATAACATGATACACGGAGGCACACTTGAGTGATGTTTTCGAATGCAGCCTAACCAATATTCAGTACAAAAAAGTAATATATTTACCTGAAACAGATAAAACTTCTCCCGGTGACAGACTAAATTTGTCATTGCTGTCATTGTATCTTCTAATAAAATATGGTTCATTAGAATAGTTTTCTGCATTAAAATCTTGGACATGTGATATTGGCACAACAGACACTTTTCTTGTCTCGTCCGAGTAAAAGCGAACTGCAGTGTATGTGGCTTGTGATTTTGTTGAATTATCATTCATACCTAATAGCAAAAATTATGTTTTACTTATACAGAGGAGATAAAATTTATATTGACGAATTCATTGTCGTTATATAATAATATGTACAAAAAACAACTCTCTTTCTATGTATACGTACTTGTGTTTTTCTTGCCGATCTTGCCGATCTTGGTACAATTCGCTCCAGTGAGTTTGTCCGCCCTCTCAATGTCACCTGTATTCCAATTTGCCCAATAAATGTAGTCCCGATACTGCGTAACACTGAAAGGATAGACTATTACTACGTTTCAACCATTGGCTAACTGGTTGACTCTGACCCGATTTAAACCCTCGATGGAAACATAGTCATATAAGCGTTCGAAATCAAGAAACGGTGCATCGATGGCTTGTGTACGTATACAACCAGTTTACACATAGTTTTATCGCGTTTAGAGAAACGAGCGTAAGACTGATAACCTGATCCCAGGAATTCCACCGCACTGCAATATTTACCTTTTTTAATTCTCCGC